TGCAACCAAAAATGATTTAAAATCACAATTTTTTTCTCAATTTTTCTCGAAATTCTTTTTCTTATCTTGTCAGAAATAATGGAAGCATGACCTACATTAAAAATTTTTAAAAACATAAATCCCTCCCCACACTTAAAATTTACATAGTCCCAATGTAAAGGAAATGCAAAGAGGGGAAAAAAATTTCCTAATATATGAATGTAAAAACAAAAAACGAAAATAAAAAGATAAAGGAACGAACTCCCCTGGTTTGTCTTCCAAGCAACGCATTTGATTATTGTCTTTGGCATCAATTGGGTTTTCAAGGCCCCATGTTCTCACCTCCTATATTTAGAAACCTGCATAGAATGTCTCTTGTTAGAAACTAACAAAACACTATGCAAACTTTTACCTGACTTTGGTAACTTTGGAGAAGCATTCAATACTGCAATGGTTTTCTGTAAGGCAATATTCGGAGGCAACTTGATGTGAACCCCATAGCAGCGTTGACAATGAAACCCACAACGAGATTGACGAACCCAAGAAAGCCAAATTAATCCAAGAGTTTAGGATTAATAAAAAATAAAGTTGAACAAAAAAATCCAACAAGAACGACGCTTGAAAGACTCCTTGATCACGCAATCCAAGAATTGAATCCAGTTGTTTGAACGCCACAAGTTAACACTTGATAAGTTCGACGTTGTTCAATGAAGAACGATAAAGAGAAGACATTAATTCAATATCAAATATGTCAAAAAATTTCTTACATTGAATGAAAGCTCCTATTTATACTAAACCTAAAAACTACGTAAAAATCGTGCAAAAGTCTAGCATATCCCCAAAATATGGAAAAGAATCAAAAACTAACAAAATATGGAAAAATACCAACTATAGAAAATTCACCAAAAATATGGCCTATGAGATCGCAACACTCATTTCTATGTTGTCGCATAGTTCAAGCAGTTTGCCTCTTTTGAGTTTTGGTAAGCCTCCATGTGACTACGAGCCACTTTGGCCTATGCGACAGCATAGGCTTGGAACTTCTCTCCGGTTTCGGCCTTCGTTATTAAATTGATCCAAGTTGATTCCACCTTCGACCCGAACATGAAAGTTGCTCCATTTTGAATCCCGAACATGGTTCCATCAATGGTTTCTTGAACCAGTAATCCCATCACTTGTTTCACTTGCTTTGCCCTTGATCGCGTCATCGGTCCACCATCGACTATCAACGGGTCTTGTCTCGCACTTGCCTTCGTCGGGCTCGACTCCTAGGTCATATCATCCCCTCCCTCTTCAAAAGGATTCGTCCTCGAATCTGAACCTGCATCAAACAGAGAGAGATCAGATACGTTAAAAGTAGCCGAAACATTATACTCACCTGAAGGGTCCAACTTGTTTACATTATCGTTTATCTTTTCAATAACTTGAAATGGACTATCACCCCTCAGTTGCAACTTGGACTTCCTTTGCTCCGAAAACCGCTCCTTCCTAAAGTGCGCCCAAACCCAATCCCCTGGCTCGAATGTCACAGGCTTCCTACCTCTGTTCGCCTGCAACGCAACCAACTTACTTTTGTTTACAATTTGCGCTTTTACCTTTTCATGGAGTGACTTAACCAATTCCGCCTTCTTTTTGCCATCTAAACTACCAAGTTCATTCACAGGTAAAGAAATTAAATCCAAAGGAGTTAGTGGATTAAGACCATATACAATTTCAAATGGAGAAGATGACGTAGTAGAGTGAACAGCTCGATTGTATGCAAATTCAACAAATGGTAGGCACTCCTCCCAACTTTTCAAATTTTTATTGATTACTTTGCGCAACAATTGTGTCATGGTCCTATTCATTACCTTAGTTTGTCCATCTGTTTATGGGTGACAAGTTGTGAAAAATAGTAACTTAGTGCCTAACTTACCCCACAAAACTCTCCAAAAGTGACTTAAAAATTTGACATCCCGATCCGACACAATGCTTCCAGAAACCCCATGTAAATGCACAATCTCTTTAAAAAATAAGTCAGCAATGTTCGTGGCATCGTCTGTTTTGTGACATGGTATAGAATGTACCATTTTGCTGAACCTATCTACAACCACAAAAACAGAATCCCGACCTCTTTTAGTCCTAGGTAAATCCAAAACAAAGTCCATCGAGATATCAACCCAAGGCTCACTAGGCGTAGGTAAAGGTGTGTACAAACCTTGAGGTAAAACCTTAGATTTAGCCCTTTTACAACCTATGCGTCGACTACAAATTCACTCGACATCACTTTTCATCTTAGGCCAGTAAAAATGCTCCTTCAATACATCTAAAGTCTTTTGAACCCAAAAGTGTCCCATCAATCCACCACTATGTGCCTCCCTTACTAACAACTCCCGAATAGAACAATTAGGAACACATAACCTATTTTTCCGAAATAAATACCCCTCATGCCTAAAGAACTTATCAACCGCCCCTTTATTGCATGACAAATAAATACTTGAAAAATCAATATCGTTTTCATACAATTCTTTAATATGTTGAAACCTAAGTAACTTAGAATTAAGAGTAGTTAGCAATGGTACCTTCGCGACAACGCATCTGCCACCACATTTTCCTTACCTTACTTATACCAAATAACGTATGGAAACGTCTCAATGAATTCCATCCACCGCGCATGCCTCTTGTTCAATTTACCTTGTCCACGCAAGTGCTTTATTGACTTATGATCAGTGTGTATTACGAACTCCTTCGGCCATAGATAATGTTGCCAAGTCTCCGAAGCTCGAACAAGTGCATAAAGCTCTTTATCATATGTAGGATAATTTAAAGTAGCTCCACTCAATTTCTCGCTGAAATATATAATAGGCCTCTGATCCTGCATTAAAACTGCTCCAATCCTTATTCCTGATACATCACACTCAATCATTATGTTGTTGATAGCCCTACAATCCATGCACATTCGCCATGTTCCATCCTTTTTTGGTACAAGAAAAATTGGTACCACATAAGGACTCATGCTTTCCCTCACGTATCATTTGCTCATCAACTCCTCCACTTGTTTTTGAAGCTCCTTAATTTCCTCGAGATTGCTTCGATAAGTCGATCGATTTGGAATGACAGCTCCGGGTATGAAGTCAATTTGATGTTCAATGCCTCGAATAGGTGGCAATCCACTTGGTGCATCCTCCAGAAATACATCGTCGAATTCTTGCATCAAAGACTTAGCCAAACTAGAAAGTGGTGGGTTCGTTTCCTCAAAATTGAGGAGTGATTCCTTATAAACGAACAAGATCATCTCTTTTCTCTCAACTACCACCCTCCTCAAATTACTCTCTTTTGTAAAGAAATTCGCTCGTGTTTCTCTCTTCTCTTCGAGCACTCCCTTTCTTTTCTCTCTTGTGATTGCTCTCTCTTTTTCTCTAACTCACCACTTTCTCTCATTTTTTCTGACTCCTTGGCTCCCCTCTCTTCCTCACTTCTCAATTTTAATTGGTCATCATAGACTTGTGCCAGTGTTAATGGCACAAGAGTAATGGTCCTTCCATCCTTAATGAAACTATATCAATTTTTGTACCCATCATGCATAGCCTTTCTATCATATTGCCATGGTCGTCCCAATAAAATATGTCCCACTTGCATTGGTACCACATCACACACTAATTCATCCTTATAACTCCCAATTGACAAATTAATTAACACTCTTAGATTCACCCTCACCTCGACAGTCTCATTCAACCATTGCAATTTATAATGTCTCGAGTGTCTCAACAGTGTTAAACCCAACTTTTCTACAAGAGTTACACTAGCTACATTAGTGCAACTACCACCATCAATTATAACACTACATACCGTATTGTTGACGTGGCATCGAGTGTGGAAAATGTTCTTCTGTTGCAACTCCAAGTCATCTACTTTGACGTTAGTAGTAAGAGCTCGTCTCATGACTAGTAGATCCCCAACTAGCCCTTCAGCTTTTTCTTCTTCACTAACATCTTCCAACGCCGGTATGTCATCAAACTCGCCATCACTATCACTCACTATCTCCCCATTATCCCGCAACACCATTGCCCGTTTGTTTGGGCATTGAAAAGCAATATGCCCCGTTTCCAAACACCTAAAACATTTGATGTCCCGATTGCACGACGATTGTGCCTCCAGTTTTGATATTGGTTTGCTAGCGTTTTCATCCTTACCCTTTTGCCAATCACCTTTACCTCTAGGTGCAGCCCCGTTTTTGTTGTTGTCATCCCACTTTGATTTCCATGTTGAATTAGAATTCGAAGTACCCAACGATTGCCTAGACGTCCCCTTCCTCTTCAATTGCCTCTCAACCTTCATTGTCACATGTAACATGTCCTCGATTTCCACATAGTGTTACAACTCTACAATGTTTGCAATATTCCGATTTGACCCATTCAAGAATCGTACCATGGTAGATTCCCGATCTTTCTCCACATTAGCTCGAATCATAAGAATTTCTATCTCCTTGTGATAATCTTTTACGCTTTTTGACCCTTGATACAGACCTTGCAATTTTTGATGGATTTCCCTATAATAGTGACTCGGAACAAACCTCCTTCTCATCAACGTCTTCAACTCATCCCAAGTGCTAATTGGCATTTCCCGACCCCTACGCCATGATGTAAGTACTTGATCCCACCAAGATATCGTGTAATCCACAAATTCAAGCACCACCAATTTTACCTTTTTCTCCTCTGAATAATTATAGCACTCAAAAATCATCTCAACCTTCCTTTCCCATTCTAAATATGCTTCCGGATCGCTTCTCCCCTTAAATTGCAGAATAGTCATTTAATACTCCCCAAATTTCCATCTACTTCATCTCCCGAGTTATTTCTACCCCGTCTTTCCATCCGATCGCCCCTATGCCTCACTCGACCCATATCAATGTCATTTTTTATCAAAATCATCATCATCACTAAGATACTCATCCCGCCTTCCTCTCCTAGATTTACGCTTAGCCGGCCCCCTAGCATTAGACATCTCCACTTGTCCCCGACTGAAATTAGCTATTGTGGTACCTATTGCACCATCCACTCTCCTTGCCTATCCACCTTCTCCCTAACATCACCAAGTATGCGTTCAAACCTCTGTATCATGTCCTCCGAAACATTGTTGTCATTACCATTTCGGTTTGAGTTGGAACCTTCTCTTTTCGACATCATGTCACACAAATTTATATGCTTCACAAATATATCACCTGAAAGCACTCAATATGGTTTTTCCCCTCTATTAAACTCACCACTCGGTGTTTTACCACTCAAAATCTCCCTCCAAGCACTTCAAAAAATCAAGTGAACTAAATCAAGTATTTTACCGGGAATTCAACAAACTGAATAATAACCAAGAACCACGAGACTCAAGGAATTGAATTTAAGTGGAATAGATGATTGTGTTTTGACAAGAATATGTAAATAGACTCAATAGTAAAGTGAAGAATCGACACAATGGAATAGCCAAATCACTCAATTGAAGAGTTGTTTTTGTGTTGGTAGTAAAAAAACAAGAAATAATAATATCAATTTTTTTTTACTGTACGGATGAACAGTAACCGTACGATGAACAGTGCTCTTTTTTTTTTAACTTCTCTTGTAAAGAAATATGATTAAACTACCAACAACTCAATGAATTGAAATTGACGATAATTTAACGACACAACAATGACAATAGAAATTAGGAAGAATGAAGAAAACAAAAAAAGACTTAACAAGTAACGAAAAGATATAACTTTCAATTAATTTGGAGCCTTGCTCTGATACCAACTGATGCGAACCCCATAGCAACGTTGACTACGAAACCCACAATGAGATTGACGAGCCCAAGAAAGCCAAATTAATCCAAGAGTTTAGGATTAATCCAAAAGAAAGTCGAACCAAAAAAGCCCAATAAGAACGACTCTTGAAAGACCCCTTGATCACGTAATCCAAGAATTGAATCCGGCTGTTTGAACACCACAAGTTAACACTTGATAAGTTCGAAATTGTTCAATAAAGAACGATGAAGAGAAGACAATACGCCTCACTTTAATTCAATATCAAATAAGACCAAAATTTTCTTACATTGAATGAAAACTCCTATTTATACTAAACCTAAAAACTAGGTAAAAATCGTGCAAAAGTCTAGCATCATCCCCAAAATATGGGAAAAGAATCAAAAACTAACAAAATATGGAAAAATACTAAAAATAGAAAATTCCCCAAAAATATGGCCTATGCGACCGTGACGCTCATTTCTATGTGGTTGCATAGTTCAAGCAGTTTGCCTCTTTTGAGTTTCGGTAAGCCTCCATGCGACCGCGAGCCACTTTGGCCTATGCGACCACATAGGCTTGGAACTTCTCTCCGGTTTCGGCCTTCGTTATTACATTGATCCAAGTTGATTCTGCCTTCGATCCGAACATGAAATTTGCTCCATTTTGAGTCCTAAACATGGTTCCATCAATAGTTTCTTGAACAAATAATCTCATCACTTGTTTCACTTGCTTTGCCCTTGATCGTGTCATCGATTCACCATCGACTATCAACGGGTCTCGTCTCGCACTTGCCTTCGTCGGGCTCGACTCCTGGGTCATATCATAACTTCTGATCCACCTACTCAATATGATTATCAACGGCAACTTTCACTACATTGTTTTCATCAGGTTCTAAAACTTCCTATTATAAATTATTAATCACTTTAATAGAGTAAACAAGATTATCATCACTAAGGTGTTTCATGGCTTCATAAATATTAAATTCACTAATTTTATCACCAAATTCCATGGTAAGCATGCCACTATAAAAATCTATTTTAACTTTGGATGTCCTTAACAATGGTCTTCCTAGCAAAATAAGGGCAGTTTGGTCATTATATCTCATATCAAGTATATAGAAATCAGCGGGAAAAACCAAATCATTAACTTTCACGAGAATATTCTCAACTACACCCTTAGGATAGGCATTAGATTTATCAGCTAGTTGAATTATGACACCGGTTTCATTCAAAGGTCCAAGTTTCAAAGAAGCGTATATAGAGTATGGTATGACATTAATAAAAGCTTCTGAGTCTAACATGGCCTTTTCAAACCTAGTGTTACATATCGTGCAAGGGATAGTAAACATACTTGGATCTTTACATTTTGTAGGGAATTTCCTTTGAATGACTGCAGAGACATTCTTCCCAACTTTCACTTTCTCACACCCTTTGAGTTTCTACTTTCTTTTAAGTGTACATAATTCTTTCGAAAATTTAGCATAAAGAGGTACTTGTTTAATAGCATCTAACAATGGAATATTTACCTCACATTTATGGAAAGTTTCATAAAGTTCGTTGTTTGGTTCATCTTTCCAAGATTCTGGTAAAGCCTGAAGGAAAGAGGGTACCAGTTTATAATCAGAAAGAGGTGAAAACTTAGGCTTAAATATGTAATTGTCATTGGGAACATCCGTGTTTGCAGTGACATCTTTCTACTTTTGTTGCTCCGATGATGTAGGGACTGTTTTTACTGAAATCTCAACCTTTTTACCACTTCTCAAGGTGATTGTACTCTTGGATTGACCATTGTTTGAGAGGGTAATTTTCATGAACTTTGTGCTTCTAGCCTACTGATTAAGGTTACCATTGGACCCATCTAATTCTCCAAACTTTTAATACTTGCCCTTGTCACCTGTTGGAATTGCAAAGTGTTACTGGCAAGAGACTTTACGATATCTTCTAAAGGTATACCTAAATTTGAAGTTTGGTCCTGTTGTTGTCTAGGAGGGTATGGATGCCTGTATTGCTGAAAGTTTAGGCAATTTTGAAGCGTTGGTTGATTCACTTGTTGATTCCTATAGCTAAGGTTAGGATGATTCCTCGATCATGGGTTATAAGTGTTTGAGTAAGGATTATAATTCCTTTGTGATTGTCCAAGAAAGCCATCCATTGCATTAACTTGTTCACTGGGATCTTCTTAAAGAGTTGGGCACATGTCAATTGGATGTCCTGCTACCGAGTATAATCTACAAGCCTTCACTATTTGCATATTACCTGCAACCATTTGTCGAACAAGAGTAGTTCAACTCGAGATTTTTTGTTCAAGTAATAAGATATTTACCTCATTGATAGGTTTAGATGGACTGTTAAGCCTAGTGCCAAATTGTTGAGAGTTGCCTACCATGTTTGCAATCAAGATCCTTGCACCCTTGAGAGTTTTATCCACCAAAGCTCCTCTACTTGCAGCATCAATCATAGTCCTATCTGTGGGTAGAAGACCTTCATAAAAATATTAAATGAGGAGTTGCTCACTAATTTGATGGTGGGGATAGCTTGCACAGAGTCGCTTGAACGCTTAGAGTATTCATATAAAGATTCACTACTATCCTGCATTATTCCACAAATTGCCTTTCAGATGTTTGCTACCCTTGAAGCTGGAAAATATTTCTCTAAAAACAACCACTTCATCTCCTCCCATGTTATGATACTTCCAGATGGTAGATAATAGAGCTAATCTTTAGCTGAGTCCTTCAATGAGAATGGGAAAGCTCTCAATTTGATTTGATCTTCAATTACCCCTATGGGTTTCATACTCGTGCATACAACATATAATTCCTTTAAATGCTTGTGAGGATCTTCACCTGTAAGACCATGAAAGGTGGGCAAAAGATGTATTAGTCCAGAGTTCAATTCAAAAGTAGTGGCAACATCTATAGTAGGAAAAATGATGCAGAGACGTCGTTGGTTCAAATTCAGAGCTGCAAGCTCCTTCAAAGTTTGATGTCCAGCCATGTGTCCCTCGAAATTCGGTTGAATGCTACTCCTTAACCTGCGCAAAGTTTATTTTAATTCTGGATCGTATTGCAAATCGATTTGGTTAGAGGATCGAGTTATGGGTATAAACAATTAAGGAAGCTATTAAAAAAAAGGTAAACTAAACTAAACAAAATAAACAAAAAAGAAAAGATTTTTTTTTAAACTAAGCGAACAAATAAAAAGCATAAAAATAAACTAAATCACTCCCCGACAACAGCACCAAAATTTGGTGCGTGCTGTCGTAGGCACTCCAAATTAAACATACTCTTCTTAAAATTAATGTAGAAGTGGAAGTAAGAGTCGATCCCACGAAGAGTGTTTAGTTTATCTTTTATGTATTATTAACTAAAAAATGGGGGTTTTGATTTTGAAACAATTAATTATCAATAAAAATAACTAATAGCAACACAAATCAATGAATTAAATTAAATCAATTTAACGAACCTCAATCTAAGTCAACATCCACCATTGAAAATTTATAACTGGTCATTGATCTACTAATAATCATCAATTCACAATTTTAGCATTCATTGTGGAAAACAATTTCCCATTCGAAACGATTTCCTATTGCTCCTTAGTTTTAATTAATTAAAAACAAATGATCTAATTAATCCTAATTATCGAACAACCTCATACAAGCGTGAAAATTTGATTCAATAATTGTTTTATGAACTAGAAAAAATCAATGAATTAGATAACGCAATCACACGCGGTTGCATTTACCCTAGATAAATATTCTTTATAAGATTTAATAATTCTCAAAGCCGCAAATCACTAATCCTAGTTGCTTTACAAGTTAAATTAAACAAAAAATTACGTATTTGATATTTAATTTAACTATAGATTGTGGAGAATAATATACTAGTATATATTCTAGCAATTAAACACAACAACCATAAAAATGTATGCAGAAAAATATTTAATACTAAACATATTAATTAAACAATAAAAACCAAGTGTATCTCACAGTTATAATTGTTCCAAGGCTTTTGTCTTCTTCGATCAAGCAAAGAGAATTAGTTACACATCATAAATCTAGAGAAAATTAGGTTTGGGGGCGTTCTCTAAGTTTTGGACGAGATTTGGGGTATATATATCATGTACAAGATTTGTTTCCATGAGTTATTGAATGAAATTAGGAAACTAAAAATCACGTGTCGAAATATAACTATGCGACCGTATAGTTATAAGGTTGCAATCACATAGAATAATGGTTTTTATCTCTAAAGTTCCCTGGAGGTCACTATGCAACCGCATTGATTTTGAACTATGCAACCGAATGATTCAATTGTTTTCCCGTCGAATAGTTTTCAATATTTTGATCATAACTTTCTCTCTCAATTTTCGATTGAGGTGATTCAAAGTATGTTGGGAAGATAACTCAAAGATCTACAAATTTAATAGAGGTAGACTTTTCCAAATTCGGATGTTTACCATGCCAAAAATGGATCTTAAGTAGAGACTAAAAATCTCGAGCATTGCATTTTCACTTGAAAGTTGATACATCATAATACTTCGACTATATTTCACCTCTTTGACTTCTTTCTTGATCCATTTGACCTCCAACACTCTTGAATCTTCATTTCATTGCCCATCTCATCTATGAATTATTTTCAACTTGGTCCCTGATCTTTCACTTTTTTCCATTTTGATCTTTTTTCGCTATTTTCCTCCAAACTCCATATTTTCCATCCATTTACAACCTAAATCAAAATATAAGTGTACTGAGTAAATTTAGGTGTTAATTAATTACAAAAATGCAAGTATTAATAGATGAAAAATACAACATTTCATGTCTTATCAATAAAAGGATAGACATTCTATCCCTATCGAACTTTACGATAATTAACACTATGTCTAACTATTTTCAATATTTTGAATGTAATATAAGCTACAAAACTCATACAACTATTGCACATATAATCATAGAGAAAATTAAATCAATTTAAATCATTCAAAATTGAAAACGTGTTTTAAATGTTAAAAATAAATAAAATCAAGAGTTAAAAGTTCATGATACAAGTTTTATCGAAAATCCTAGCACAAAGTAGTTTAGCTTAGCATAATGCCGGAATTAAACAAATAAAAATAAAAGACCACTAAAAATTTACGGAATGTGGTTAATTTCCTCGTAATTGTTAATAGTTTATCGTCAAAAATGTGGCCATAATTCTTGCTGTTATCCTTAATTTCGTGTGTGTCTCGTCTTTTGGGCTTTAATACTATGTATTGCTATCATTTTTTCCCATGCGTACGCGTGTGTTTTCCTTCAATTTTCAGTACCTTTATGCATGTATATATTATCTCTAAGCAGTCATCGCCTTTGTTAATTGTGTTAGTTTGATGTCCTTTTTCAAGTAGTATTTTGTAAAAAGACATTATGAATTGATGTTCAATTATTCAAGTGTTACAATGAAACTATTATCTAAGGTTTGATGATCATATAGGATGTCACAAATTGTATATTCAATGATTTGGGTATAGTAAGACACAATTCGTGATATGATCAAAATATGTTGTTCACAATCATTACATGAAGTTGGACGCTTTATATTGATAAGATTGCATTGTTCTTATTAATATTTATCTAGATTTAGAAATAAGAACAATAATGTGTTTTTGATGCAATTGAACAGGACCGCATAGATAGTTTGTGAGCGCTGGGAATGAGACTCTACTCAATTATCAAACAAGTCACCTAAATTCTGAGCGAGTAATGTACCTTTGATTGCTAGTTCAAGTTTCTTAAGGTACCAATTAATGAAATCTTAATTAGAAGATTGATCAAAGTAGACCCCTTTCGGATCAAGGTCCCTTTGATGTTGTGTTACATAAGGTGAGCTTTGATCTTTGTTTCCCCACCGTTTCAATTTGCTAATGTAATTTTACAAGGATGGGAATGTAATCTACCTTTTAACTATTTAGCACATATTCAGGGCATGTTTTGTGTATCATTGCATCTCACAAAATTTCAATTGTTGATGTAGTTATCTGGAAAGGAATGGCAGTGTGTAATTGAGGTTAGTCCAAATGAACATCATCACTTCTCTATATTTATATTCTGAAAAACCATCTACAACTTAAAAGTTATAATTAGAATGAAACAATTATGGCTACTTAGGCTATCACACTTGATGATGTGGACTAGACACACTGTAAATGAATGATAGCAATCAACACTCCTTCAGCTAATAACTTATTGTCGTCTGATGTAAGTTGCGGAGTGCAGTGCTCTCACTGCAATCATGAAATATGACTTGATAATTGAGGTGGAAGCCTAGAGATTCCAGCAAAGTAGATGCTATCCTTCAAAGTACTCACGGTTTTATTCTTTCAATGGTTGTTTTATCCAGGGTTGTTCAGCCATTATATCAGCTTAAGTAGAGATTGCTAACCTAATTTCTGTTTTTAACTCAATGGTATTTTTGTTCGAAATTCTGTTGATTTTGTTACATTGTTATCTTTATTTTGTTATTCTCTTTTGCTTATGAATCATTGGCCACATTGGATAATTCACTCCATTGTGTTAAATTTCCAGTTCGAGTGACGGACTGATGTATAAGAATGAAAAACGATTGTTTGTTTAAAGAGTACTGCAGTTTTGAATTTTTAAATATTTGAAGTTATTATATTCATGTGCTTGCTTTCAGTCAATGCCTGATATTCCCATACAACCATGTATAGGAAACTAGAAAGGTCAATTCCAATGGCAAAAATTATAATAATATATTTTACTCAAGAGTGATCCTTGCTAGCTACTAATAGAGGACTTAGCTTTAAGAGGTATATAGGTATGTATTTTGCATTTCATTTTATTTTAATATTGAATCTATCATTCTCACCCCTCTGTTTTTCCCTGAACCGTACAAAATTTACACACTCAAATTTAGTTATTTTGGATATTTACTGTGCTCTTGTTTTCCTTTGTAGGTTCTTCTCTTACATTGTTTTCTTTATCATCTTTAATGAATTTGCAAGTTTAAATAACCACTTTTGGTAAGGATTCTAGGAATGTAGTTTGGATTAAATCACCATTCCTTTCTGCATTGATAAGGAAAATAATTTGTTTAGCGTTAAAAGTCCTTCCTGGTTTGCATGCTGATACAAAATTTAAGATGCATTCTGAAATAACTCTTCTTGATCTTCAGGATGTATTTGGTAACAAAATGGTGTCGTTATTTCCTAATTGATCTTGCCACGTATTTTTTCTTCTAATCAAAAAGTTCACCAGTAATAAAAACAATGCCTGCAAGATTTCATTTGGAATGCCTGATATCTTTAAATTTTTCATGACCACGTTTGTATTTTTTGTTTGATTTCATTTTGCATACATCAAGTGAAATGTTTGTGGATGAGATTTGCTTATTTCATTAATTTTTTTCATCAATTGATAAGTGTGCTTAGTGGTTGAGTGGTGTGTAGGCAGCCCTGCCATCAATTTTTCTGAATAGGTTGTCATGTTGACATAAGAGGGTGAATGCAAAAAATGTTTCTGACCTTCAAGTTTTGAAAGTGCAGATTTTCTTGTTCAGAATTTAAAACTCCTAACATGAATGGTTGCACTTTGCATCATGTTGCTATATAAACCTGTACTCTGAATTTCTTAAATTCCTTAACCTTTTATTACTGCTTTTTGAAGGACTACTGGCAGATGCATCCTGAAGTTACAGTTCTTGATCCTCCACATGCCATACAACAAGTGCACAGCCGACAGTCCATGTTACAAGATGTTACTGACCTGAACTTGTCTGATGCCTATGGTAAATTTCTTCAATTATATCAGGACGATGAATTTGAAAGTTGTTTTGCTGCTTGATGATTATGTATGCTCCTCTCCCTTGGAGATTGGTGCTATTTTAAAGGCAGCTTGAAAGCTTTTTGTTTCTGACTCGGTCAACAAATATGGCCAAGGAAGTTGTACTTGTCATACTTTTGTGGTGTTCAATAATGTGTTTTCAATGTTCATCTGTTGTGCAGGAAAGGTTGGTATTCCCAAACAGTTGGTTATCAAGAAAGATCCATCATCTATTCCTGACGAGGTGAGCAAGGCTGGACTGAGGTTACCCATTGGTACGTCGACATGCTATGCCGACAACTGTCAGTATGTCTGCAAAAATTAATCATATTGGATATGACTGAGCATTTAATTATACATTCATCATTATTATGTTGAAATTTCTCAACTAGTCGGTGAAATGTGATTGTTATGCTTCGTTTGGAGAAACGTGTCAATTAACTCTTCATTAAGATATTCACAGTGTCACTTACTTATTTTTGTTTCAGTAGCGAAGCCCTTGGTGGCAAAGTCACATGAGTTATCTCTAGCCCATGATGAATACTCCCTCCAGAAGCTAGAACCTCCACTTGTTTTGCAGGAATTTATTAATCATTGTATTGGACTTAATTCTTTTGGTATCATTGTCTTTTTTACTTGAGCGTAGAGAGTCAACTCATAAAAAGCCTTCAAAAAAATAAAATAAAATAAAATAAAATAAAATAATCCACTTACTTTCTTGTAGGAGGTGTCCTCTTTAAGGTGTATATTGTTGGGGAAGCGATTAAGGTGGTCCAGCGTTTCTCCTTACCTGATGTTAGTAATTGTGACATGTCAAAGAATGCTGGTGTATACCGCTTTCCAAGAGTATCCTGTGCGGCAGGCGCGGATCCAACACCTGGCGAGCACCCGCGGCCGCGCGTGCTGGATCCGCCAGTCGCCGGAGATTTTTTATTTTTATTTTTTTTGGACAATAGATTTAAATTATTACGTTATATTACTGATGATCCATTTTGTTCCTTAAAATCGTTGTAGCTTAGTGGGTTGGTACTTGAACGTTTATTTTTGAGAGCCTCGGGTTCGAATCCCTCCTAACGAAATTGTTGTGTATTATTCTTAAACTACAATTTTTACCAAAATTCAACAAGGTTGGGGACAAAAGGGACTTGAACCTGTGACTTTGTGCAAGGAATGTATTAAACTTGACCATTATGGTACTTCATTAATTGAGTTACTAAATTTACCAAAATAACATTTGTTAGGTTTAATTGAGTTGCAAATACATTTCCAAAGACTCAAATCCACACTCTTCCTTTGAATTATACAAACTTAATAATAATGTCATTTGATGAGTCATATTTATTCTTATACAGGAATTATATATGTTTAATTTAAACAAAATAATTGTTATATTTAAACTTTAGGCTTTGTTCGATTTCTATTTTTTTCAAAATACATTTTTTCTCTCTTCTTTTCATCCATACAATCTTCAATAAAATAATATTATACGCAAATTCAAAACTTTTTTTTTTATTTTTATTTTGAGCCACACATTTTTCATTAAATCACTATTCAAGAATACATTTTTTGCCAAAAATGGGTATTAAACGGACTCTTAAAATTTTATTGCGGCCTACGATAGATGATTAACGGTCCGCCCGTGCTGACTTAAACTCTTGGATTCGTCCCTGCTGTGCGGCTGCATTTGCTGATGAAGCAGACTTAGATCCATGTGTTGCTGGTGAGCACATCCTTTGAAATGTTCGTGGCTTGATTTGTCTTGGTGGAATGTGCTTCGTTTAACCTGTTAAACGGTTGTGAACGTTTATTATGATTTTCTGTTGTGAGGATGGGAGTGAGTAATTGCTGCCATACCATGCTCTGATACCGGCTCTTAATGTTAGTCTTAGCTTCTTCCCTGCAGAACTTCCTCCACAACCATTACTTGAGCGACTAGCAAGGGAACTACGTCGATGGCTGGTATTCTCATTTCCTTTTCGGATTTTGCAAAAACATTTATGGGCACACTGGCACTGTATCATTCTTTGATCATATTAGCTTTGCTCATAATTTTGTGTCTCACTGCATTATTCTTTGTAGGGACTTCGGCTGTTCAACTTAGATATAATTCGAGAGCATGGAGCTTGTGGCCGCTATTATGTCATAGATATCAATTATTTTCCTGGTATGTCATAAGCTCACTTTATGTATGTATTTACTGATAGACTGCTCTTGTAGTCTGAGAAGTTAAAATAACCACCACTGTGAGATCACACTTTTTTTTTTTTTATTAAATTGAAATCAGGAAATGAAACATCTTATTGGCATTGTTATTTTTTGGGAAGGATGAAAGGCTTACAAGGAGATCTTACTTCCCTTGTGTATATAATATGCAGGATTCGGGAAAATGCCAGAATATGAGCATATATTTACTGATTTTCTTCTGAGCCTGGTGCAGAGGGAATGTGTGGATAAACCTGTGTAGAATTTGACTTATAATAACATCCAACTACGTGCAGTAGGAATTCAATCTGCGACTCATGCAACTTTGCACATTAGAGGTCGAAGGCACCAGTTCCCATGTGCTCAACTCCAGGAATGCTCCAGTAGTAGTAGATTGTTTCAACTTTAGCAGATTTTTTTGGCGATCAAAGCCTCCTTAGGAGTGCCTTGTATATCTTTTGTTGATTAGTTTGTTTATTTCTATACTAATACAGAACTGATGTTCATATGCTAGTTAATTGATGGTACCCGTAAGGACGACCTTGGTGGCTTCTTGTACGGATTTGTTCTTTCATTTGCTATAGCTAGATTTTAGAAAATCAACTTTTTGTCACATATTTATGTGGGAATTGTCCCTCCATGATGTATAAAATTCTTAGTAGTTTTAGTCCATGGAAAATATTAGCACTCTATTGTCAACTCACCTTCGATGGACTTGGTATAAGTGATCCGAGAGGTTGGTTTTGAATTTTTATTTTGTGGAAATTACATAATTCCAGGTCCTTAAAGAGTACAATTCAAAAATCAAAAATCAAGTTTGATTAATAAAAAATTAGGTTTAATATAATATCTCCACCCAATTCAATTCCAGACCCCATTCATTTCTCCCATCAACTGTAAAACATTTCACCAGCACCATCTCTCTCTTCTGTCTTAGAGACTGACGATAAAACATTTCACCATCATCGTCTCTCCCTTCTCTCTTCGACATCGACAATCCAATCAAACTCTGTAATCGGTGACGAAGGAGGATGTGCCGACCAACGCTGCTGACATTGGGGATTGTTGATAGTTCTCAGCAGCATCGCTGGGTGAAGCTGATTCCAATGGCATCGCCTATGGCGAGTGACGATTGGTGCAAACAGTGACTCTGTAGATCCATCTTTTCTCCGTCGGACATCTCTTTCTCTTCATTCTCTCTTCCCCCATGCTTTTTGCAAATTCGCCTCTTCTCCGATGAGTGCGTGGTTGGCAACCCTACAACATTCCATGAGCGAGGATGTAGTCGCCATGACCAAGGACGAGTGCAGTTGCTACTGGTTCTGACCCTTTTTGTCGCTTCTGCCTGTGTTGCTAAGTGGGTGGTGTTGGTGAGGTTGTGGAGTGGTGTATTGTTGTGTGTTTTTGGTGGTGGTTTCTGGGTGTGGTTATGGTCCTTGTGGCTGTAATGGCTTTCCGCGGTGGTCAAGTTGGTGGCGGAGATGTTGGTTATGTTGGCGGTGGAGATGTTGATGAGGTGATGGGTTGGGTAGTGTTGGTGTGTTTGGTGGTCGTGGTGGTTCCCGACGGCAGTACAGGTGCTCGTGATGGCAATTGTGATGTGGGTGGTGATGTTGTGGCGTTGGTGGTGGTAGTGATAACGGGTAAGCGGGTCACAAGTGGTTGTTGTGACAGTGGCGGTGCGATAGTGTTGGTGATGGTAGTATGTGACTGATAAGTGCATTTTACACACTTATTCGGTCCACAAAATATGACTAATTGTTGATCAAAGCATTTGGATTATGGCTTAATTCTTTATAATTTTATTTTGTAGGACTATATTTATGAATATAACGAAATTCAAGAGAAAAGAACGAGGGGAAATCCAAAGTATGAAAACTAAATTGCAACATTTCAATAATTGACTCGGACCACAAAATGAAGATTAAAGGTGTTGTGGGTTCAATTGAATGCAATTAAAAGTCAAAAAGTTGAAAATGTAATAAATATGACTTGAAAGAATAAAGAATCGAATTCGGTGTTTAAAATGCAATATTCAGGAGTTTTCAAAATGAGCGACAGCCCAATTGTTTAGAGTGAGCAACTGTCCAATGTCAAAAAACAATTACTAAGTTGAGAACTTTAGCCCGAGCGACTGCTCAGGTTTTGCAAGGGCGACAATCACGATGAAAAATTTCTGATTTCTTGTTCTGATTGAAATTCTTATGGAAACAAATCTTTGGAGGTATTTTATAACCCTAGGGTCGTCCCTAAGGAGGGAGGACGCATTGGGAAGGAGAAAGACACATATTTGAGAGAATTTGGAGTCACAACAACAAAGAAAAACAAAAAGACCGATGAGATTTCACGCAATTAATTAATCGGGTGATGTTATTTCTTCAGGTTATTATGTAATTTGTAATTTTCTCCACGCTAGACTAGAAATTCTTGTACTAGGAGATTGATGAACCTTGTAATGTGATTTTTTTATTCCTTATTCTATATTTTTTTATATTAAAACATGTATTGAATATTTTGAATGGTTTATATACATTTAAGTTCTTCTATAATTATTGGGCTCGTAATTGCATTAGTTTGTTGATCTATTTCTTGCATTCGAGAGAAGGGGGATATGTTCGACAAGATATATGTCATCGTAGAGTCCGATAGGGGATAAAGATATACCGCTATACTTTGCATGAATCTTTATGTGCTCACAAAACTATATGCATTCTTATATATTTGCACCCATCATAAAGATATAGGCTAGTGGAATATGAGAGTAGGTTCAACTTTATTCGAGAGAGACTATTGGATAGATTTAGAAGCATTGATTCTTCATAATTTCAACGTGTTGTCAAATTATAGAACTAGGGTTAAATTGAGCATTTCTTGGGGATTCGTGATCCTAGTGCATTACATTGAATTCATCAATTTACGTTCCAAACATTCAATTTGCATTTTTAGTTCACCTAAGTGTCAGTTTGCATTTTAATTCATTCAAGTCATACACATTTCCATACCTAGTTAGGTTAGGGTTTAATTAAGTTATAAAGGCCTCGTTTGGTACTCATTTTTGTAAGAATGAAAATAAAAAATATAATCATTGCGAAATCCACACAAGAGATAGAAAGTCAAATATGATGACTTGATGTGATGAATAACGGTCATATTTTTCATTTTTTATGTTAAAGAATTGGTACCAAACGAGGGCAAAATCACTTTTGACAATCTTGTTTCGGTTAAGGCTAAATAAAATTAGGCTACTCAATCTTTATTACTTGTTGCAAACCGTACACTTGCGGAGCTTTAAATCGAAATATAATTTTCGTGAACAGAGACCCACTATTTGACATATGTGACCATCAATTTAGTTCTCTATGACCTACAGTTTAATTGTGACCTAAAAATTTGATAATCTGTGGCTAATTAATTTGAAAATCGATGACCAATAAATAAACTGTGACCTATAAATTTTTTGATTTGTGACCAATAAATAATTCGTGATCAATACCTATACATATGTGACCATTAATTGCAAAATTCTGATGTTTTGACCTATACATATGCCTCTGTGACAATTAATCTGTGATCGACAAATAAACTGTGACTTATAGTTTTTTGATTTGTGATTGATAAATAATTTGTGACCAATACCTATACTTATGTGACCATTAATTGCAAAATTGTGACATTATGACCTATACCTATGCATCTGTGATCATTAATTACAAAATTGTGACCTTAACACATTTAATTAATAAATTATTTTAATTAATTAATGAATACATGAATTTTGCATATTTTAAACTTTGAACTTGAAAATTAAATTGTACATACTTAAAGCCTTAGTTTTGAATTTTTCCCTTTTATTTTTATTAAACTTTGTGGGCTTTAATTAACAAGCAAACCTAGGGGGATTATATCTTTTAGTTAATTGAGATTTCTTGGCTCCTTTTAAGGGCAACTCAGTATCAAATTGGTGTAAAATGCAATATGTTTAGGACTACATAGAGTCTAGAGAGAGTGAGCCAGTATAATTTAAGATTTCTCTTGTTTCTCGTTATTCTCTCGCATGTTTATTATTTTTCTCTTCTGTCTGGTATACATTAGAGTTGAAATTTGAATGATTTCATTCATTAATATACAATTTACATAAGTGCTATTACGCTTGTATAAAGAAAAAATGATTTTTCTTAAGAGTATCTATTGTATTAATGCTTTGTATTTTAAATATTTGCTATCTATCTCTGATGGGGCTATAACTTCAGTTTTTGTGACTAAATTGATATGTCCAGTTAAATGGGATTAATGTCCCTACTTTTAAAATATTATGCTAATTAATAACGTTAGAATGCCATCTAGACCGCTAAGTGTTAAATAATATTACCCTTATTTTAAAGAGCATATTTTTTGAAAATAAAGAGTGTCGTGAAGAAATTTGTTTCTTCTTCTTCTTCTTCTTCTTTTTTCCACATAATCAATTATGATAATAATATTTTTTCTATTTTTACCTTAGTTTCGTCTATTTTATATTATTATTTTCCATGCATGTTTCTTTATAAACTAAAGTACATAAAAAAATTTGCAAAATATTGTATAAATGCATCAAAAGAATAATATAGAGAATAAATTTGGTTCACTAAATGTAGAAAGTCAAACTCGCTCTTCATTTTAACTTTTAAACACAGAGAGCTTGTTGAAATTGTCATAAATAAAGTCAGCTCCAGTTAATAAAAGTCTATTGGAATTGCTCTAAAACTAAAAGATACACTTTTTATAGGAAAATATGCTCTTAATACTAAGACAATTAGATGATCTAACTATATTGAGATTGAGTATTGCAAATTTTTTGGCATGTTTGGCTTCCTTAAAGACGCCTCAAGAAAAATTTAGGTAAGTTTTAAAATAAATATGCTTTAATTAGTTAAAATTTTGAAATTTAAGGCAATTATTTAAAGAATATGATAAGAATTGCTTACATAAAGTAATTTCTTTTATTGTAGAGACACTGTTCTTTCAAGTTTCTGACATGACAATGAAACATCCTAGGTACATGTATTTATTCCGGGCAAGAACTTGTTATGAAATGGTCTTCTTTTGGTATGAAATCGTTATCCTTTGTTTTTGGGGTTGAATTTGTTCGATTTTCTTCATTTAACATGTGAAATGTCGTCGAATTGTTACTTGATATAGTTTAATCGAATTGCAGGGACTTGAATGAAGGACCTTGTCCTCTGATGTTATGATAAATTACTTTAATTATAGAAGAATATGCTGTTAGAGAGTGTTAGTGTTCGAAC